GGGGGGGTTGTCCATCTCACAAGGGAACCTTTTCGATTTCGTTGAAACTCGAAAAATTTAAATTTTATTATTACAAAAGTCGAATATCATTTGAAACTTAAACCTCACAGTTATTGGGGGTTAACTTAACCCCTTACAGTGCTCTTTGTTCATAATATCCCCCTACCGCCTTTACGGCAAAAAATTGAATTGAGCGAAACGGATAAAGTTTTCGTCCGAAGGACGCGACTTAAATTTGTTTCATTTTTTTTTTTTGTAAAACCTTTCTGTTACCCTAGGAGGTTTAGGAAAAATTGCACGTGCTATCCGATTTCTTTATAAATAACCTTCAAATTTTCTCGAGTTTCCATGAAATCGGAGATTAACACCCGAAAAGATTCCCTTATCAGCAGTTGGCTACTGCGCTTCATCTTCGGCTCGCGGGACTCCGTTATGAAAGAGGGGTCAGGAGGGAGAGAGAGAGAAAGAGCGAGAGGAGGGAGAGAGACAGAGAGAGACAGAGACGATCAGGGGGTAGGAGCGAGGGGGCAATAAACTCAGTTGGATTGGAACGCGGTGTGGAAATTACGTAAATGCTTGCGGGGTATGGCGATAGAATGACAACAGAGGTTCAACAACACGTTTTCAAAACAGCAGTGGCGGCGGCGACGCCCGCTCCGGGGAAACAATGAAAGGCGCGCGGAATGAACTGAATCGAACTCTCTCCCCTCCCCTCACTCACACCTTGGTCGTGTCTTATCCCCCGCCGTACAACGCAACGCCGCTCGGAGGTGTGTATACGCGCGGTGCGCGGTGGGGTCAGCGACGTCTCACGACTTCATAACATTATTCCCGATAAACACGGCGAACGCTCTCGAACCTGCTGAGCAGCCGCTAGCCTCCCGCACCCCGTGAATACAACTCTCTTTTAAGTTTTCCCGCCTTTCTCGTAATTTTAATATTGTTGGTTAAGACGATGGCGCACACGGGAGGGGCGGAGCGTGTTCTCGACAGAGTAATTAATACGTGTTAGCCTTGCGGCCAGCGGCGCCGAGGTGGGGGCGCGGTGGGGTGGTGTGGGGTGTGGTGTGGTGTGGCGGGGCCGGGTGACTGACCGCGGAGCGGGACCAGTGGACCGGCGATGCATGCGTACGAGCTGCAACGATGCTCTTCGGCGAGGGGCATGTGGGACATTCATATAATATGGCTATATGGTTATGGCGTTTTATCTGCTGGTACCACTAGATGGACAGCGGGAAAGGGTATAAGGCAACTAAAAATGATTTTCAATATTACGTTTTAGGAGGGTTTCGAAAATGACGTTTGCAATAAACTTAAAGGCAAATTATATTTGAAAACACCTAAATCGTAATACCGACAAGTATTCGACAGGAACACAAAGAGGGTGTGGAAATTATTTTGAGTCACATACGGTATTTGCAAAGTAATAAATCTGTTATCCTGCAGGAGCACGACAGGCATTGCAGATCGAACTATTTTAATTTCAAATGTTCGACGTTCCGCACCCTGCCTCGACGTTCCATGAATATGTTCGTATGCAGAGAGGTTCCGAGCGCTTCCCTGTTTGCCAGATTGACGTGGAGAGAGAGAGAGAGAGAAGGAAGGAGAGAGAGGGGGGGGGAGAAAGGGGGAAAGGGGGGAGACTGGGCTCGGAACTCATACAAAAGCCGTCGAACTCGATGGGAGGCTTGCTTTAGGGTGTCCCTAGGGACCCCAACTTGCAGGGATGCATCGCCCTGAGCGGACCTCAGGTGATAAGTCAACACACATATCACTTTAAGCATCGTTGCTCCCAGGAGCCCGAGGATCGCAATACTGCCTCGGGCGTCTTTTAGTTTTGAGAAGAGATTTGTTTTTTGTGTGCTGTCAATGTGTTTGTTGGTTGGTTGTATGTTATTGTACAGTTGACGAACATCGGGTACTGGTGCTGCTGCCACGCGCTGCCGCGGCCTTGCCCGAACCGATCGCTACAGACTCGTATCCGCGGCGGGCCGGGCCTCGCCTCGGGCCGGGCCGGGCACGCAGAGCCAGCGGCGAGCGCTGTCGAAGTTAGCTCAGCCGCCAAAACTTTAACCAGGTTTAGCTTTTGTGGTTTGCCAGCACAGTGGGCATAGCGCGCGCGGGTCAGGAAGGGTAACGCAAACAGGAAAAGGGGGGGGGGGAGGGTGGCAGAGGAGAGTGACTGGAGTGGATAGGCTTGACGAAACAACATGGACCCCATTGGTTTTAGAACATCTTGTCAAGGAGCATCCGTCCCACGCGGTGAGCAGCAACCTGTTTATTGAGCCGGCAACGGCAACATAGGGATAATCCAGATAGTGCGTCCGGCATTTGCCGTTACGCGAGGCTGCCAAGATAGTTCATTTAATTCAAGCTCTCATAGCGCCTGATGGGTAGGCAACATCTTGTCAACAGCGCATGCGTGCACCGCGGGTTGGCCTACCCTGCGTCTCGCAGGCGCCCAGCTCCCGTGATTTACCGAATAAACGAGAGAAAACTGGACACACTCCCTGGTCAGTTTCATATCGCTATCACCAACGATGACTCTCGTACCAGAGTAATTTTTAAATGTAGGAAAAAGGGGTGTAGTGTGAGAGAAACAAATAGAGACATATGAGAGGGAACGTCATGTCAGCCTCTTAACTGCTAAAAAGAAAATGAGTGAGCAGGGAGCAGAAGGCGAGAGATGGGCCGCAGGGGAGGGGGGTCAGTCCCCGGGACCTCGAGTCACGCTGATGAGCCACGAGACTCGGGACTGCCGAAAGGGACGCGTGGCTGGGTTACGACTCCCGTTGCCCTTAGCCCCGTGCCGTATCCGAACGAGGAGATGTGGAAGGAGAGATAAGGGGAAATTGAGAGGAGAGGTGAGAGAGACAGAGAGACAGAGAGAGAGTGAGACAGAGAGAGGGATAAAGGGAGAGAGGGGTGTGTGAGAGAGAGAGAGAGAGAGAGAGAGAGAGAGAGAGAGAGAGAGAGAGAGAGAGATCCATGTCCCAGCAAGTCATTGCAAGATGGCAGCTGCCTTCCCTTCGTCTTGTCCATGTGCACCGCCACCGGCGTCCTCCGACGTCCTCTCGTCGAGGCGGGCGGACCAGGTTGTTACGTAC